ATACGAAGCAGAAACCGATTTTCTCTACCTTTATTGATTGAAATATAGACAAGTTTCTGTATCCTTACTATTAACAGCTTGGAAAATATAAAAGGCAATTAAGACCATGCTAGGTGAGTAATATGCTAAATGTCTGCAGGTTATTGTAGTTAATATTAAAACAATATGATTTTAAGTACATACAGTAAGTATACAATCTGTACAAATGTTAACAGCTTCACAGTGTTACAAAAAGCAGGCAGAACTGACGGTGGCCGAGTGTCCTACAACTAAATGCTTTACATTATGCAACAAAATCCTTTAGTTCACTGTTATTTTTAAATCACTTGTTTAATTCTTTTTTACATAAAGCATGTGTCATGAATGTGTCACGCCTTCTGGAGTCAAAGTGAAGGAAAGCGATGACCTAACAGGGGTCAGTGCTTCCCAATGCTGCTCTGGTTTGGTCATAAAGCTAAATAAACTATGAGTCGCCAAATTAAAATGGATAAAGAAGCACTCACCGAGCAACTTTGTCAACAATGGTTGCAAATGAACGAATACCAGTGAAACTCACAGCTACATGTTTGTTTTGGTGCTTTAACTGGAATGTTTCAGATGCCATCCTAAAACATTTACCACTTTGCAACTCAAGTTATTAATTAGGATTGTCGCCGAGCCTTAGGCCTTTAACTGCATGCAACCTAAACAATAGAATTAGTCCAGTGAGAAATGGAAAGACCATGACTCTCTGATTTATCCTAACTCGATTTGGCTTTTAAATTAGGAACTAAATAGCATTTGCTGTTATTTATGGTACCATGCAGTCTATGTGTCTCTCACTAAAGCCACAACAGAGTCTAATGTTCTCAGTGAACCTGAGCTATCACGCTTGGTCGTGGGACATGAAATAAAGCAGGTCTGACATAAGACTGAGCAGAACAAAGACCATTTTCATACTCGATCGCCCTTGTTGACATGTACAGTTGAAGTCAAAACAACACAAATGACGTAGATTGAAGGGTGCACTACTTTTTGGAGGCAACAGAGGGCATCAACATTCTGTATTTCCGTGAAGAAATGGATACAGCCATAAAGAAAGGTGTTAAACCTCAACTAAACTACCACACACCAATGACACATATGTTACATAATAACTCAGAAAACCACTTGACAAAGTGAACAGGATTTGCTTTGTAACCGTTTCTTACATGCACATTTTTTCCCAGCATGACTCTGTCGAAGAAAACACCCAAACGTATCATTCTTTAGCAAATACCTCTGCCACATGACCAAATGGTGTTATAATCATATTTTATTGTATTATTACATGAAACAATGTGTAACAATATTTATTTCACAGTAAATCAGGCAGTGGTTTGTTTGTTTTCTTATCTACACTAAGCTTACTATGTGTCTTGTTAGGCTGCAGAGTGAAGAGCACAGTGTGATGAGAGAATGTGTCAAAAGTCAAACACATGGTGCAAATTCTGGTGGATAGCTTCATTCTCTCTGCGCTGCTGTTTTCATCTCTGCGCACAGTATCTTGTACCGTGGTTTAGTTATAAATGCTACAGATGCTTGAAATAATCTTCAGAGTATGACAGAAAAAAAAGCTGCGGTGCACAAGTCACTTTTATGCAACAGTTTCGTTTTGGTACATTTTACTTTTTTAGATGTTTCTCTGTGTCAACAGTCATAATGCTGCTAAAAAGAATAACCTACTGTTTCACAGCTTAATGTTGGAATTTTAAAAACAGGCAACACTGTCCATACAATAACAAAAGGGACCAAAAAAAGAAAAATAAAGACTTTGGGGTGAATGAAAGAATATTCAAGATATAAATACAATACACAAGATAATAATCCTCCGTCTCTTCACCTTCTGACACCATCTCACTCTTGCTACTATACACGTACAAACACACGCGCGCGCACACACATGCACAGACACACTCAGACCAGGTTGCGGACTCTTGCCTAATGCAGCAAGGGCAATGGAAAGTCACTGAGACATTGAACATACATCACACCGATTACAAGCCAGATGGAGATGCTTCTGAGGCATGGGACATGCGTGAGTGTGTGTGTGTGAGAGAGAGTGAGTGAAGGGGCCGAGGGTGTGACGTCACGTCGTCGTGACAGGGGTCTGCAGAATAGGGTCAGAGTACGGGTGGAAGGGGAGATGGAGAGAACTGCAGAGCTGTTGTTCACTCAGTCTCTCTGGACAGAATGGGCGGGGCCCAGTCTCAGCATAGAGCAGCCTCTCTCTCGCTCTCTCTCTCTCTCTCTCTCTCTCTCTCTCTCTGTTATCACTCACTTCCTGGTCCAGACAGTGCGTCTCCCAGGCATCAGTCTAGTATCTTCACCTGTGGTGGAGGAACACAAAAGCAGACATTAGGAACAAGCAAAAGCTTTAGCATTTCATCCCTGATAAAACAAGACCTTTACATCACATTCAGAAGCAAATAAGGAAGCAAATAATATCATGATTTGTTTATCTGTATTTCAATATAATGAAGAGATATTACACAGGGAGGGGAGGGTATAGGACTTCTTATATGGTTTTCTCTAGTTTTTGTCACCATTCAGATCATCAATTTGTGTATTCAGTAGCACATGTGATTTCAGCTCATATATCATATTGAGAGAAGATCTGTCAGCATCAAATCATTAATTCAACGTACTGATTTAATAAATGTCAATAAAGATTTTGAGCTCCCATTGCATTGTCATGGAAATACAAGATGCACTTTTTTCCTATAAACTGCTAAAAACAACCTTGTCCAGACTGATGTTAGTTCAGTAAAAAAAGAGAACATAAAAGAGAACATAATCTATGACTCAATAATTATTTAAATTAACCTTCAAGAAATTTAAAAATTTTATGTGCGAATTGTTACTTTGTATTTTGATATTTTATTTCAATTTAAATATTAAATCTAAATATTACATTCTTTTTTTTACAATAATTTTTACACAAAATTTGTTTCTATTTCTTTGATTAAACATGCATCTCACACTTAATTAATGTGGTTTGCTGTACCATTGCCTCCATTAAGCTGCTAAATCCTTCTGAACAGTGTTATTTTGTTTTGTGTTATAGAATAATTGAGTGAATAAAGTGCAAAAAACAAAAAAGCATAGGAACAACTGATTTCTTCCTCCTCTTAATTGGGCGTATCAAACAAAGTGTAACTAAAAACATCACAACACTCATACTGAAAATATAATTCAATCAAAACAGCTCAAACTCTACTTTGGGTCTTTGAAGCTTTGTAATTGAATCTAACAAATGCGAACTTCGACATGGTTTCTTGACTCCATACTGAGCCTTTGATAGAAGGAAAACAGCAGGAGGGAGCGGAGGAATCATAATCAGTCTTTCAGCACAAGTTCATCTGCCCCTCACACACCGCTTCCCTTGCCTAGACCCCAGCCTACAAAGAACGGGTCAATGGCGGCATTCCTGCTTTGATATCAAAGGTCCCCTGGTTACTCGTAGCCCGAACAAAAGCTTTTTCATCTGGTTAGTGGGTGAATCCCCTCCCCTTCTCCCTAATAAAAGTAGGACCCATTGATGTTTAAAAAAAAGCCATTTTGAGAAGATTGTGTGATAGGCCAACATAGGAATTTTGAAAGTAGCTATTTAGCTAAATTTTTTCATTCCTCACTTTTTTACAATAATAAAAGACTTCAATTTAGATGATTTTTGTTTATCTACATGGTCATATATAACAAAATAAAAAAAGTTGTAATGCAAATGTCCATCTCACCTGCTCATGATGTTGCTGTGATCTCTGTGGACACAGGCTCGATCTCCTTCACGGCCTCCTCAATCACCTCCATCACCTGGGCCATCACCTCTGCGCACTTCCCTGATGTCGTTTTCTCTGTCTCTGGCTGGTCCGCTGCTGCCTCTGTGACCTCTCCTGATGCCGTTGCTTGAGCTTCTTCTGACAGTGTAGAGAGTTTTTTTATGCTTGTGGGGCTTGTGGGTTCTACGCTAGTGCTGTCGTTCATTGGACCGTTGCTGTCAAACTCTACCACCACCTCTTCTTCCACCAATGACTCCTCTACCAGATGTGCTGTCTGCAGGACCACCTGGACTGGCATGTGGATCTCTGTTTCTTTGTTCTTCTCTGATTCCTCTGATTGTGGTTTCACCTCCTCCTCTTTGCTCTGTTCCTTCTCCACCTCTGCGACACCCTCTACGACTTCTTCCACTACAACAGTTTCTTCTTCACTTACTTTAACCTCCACAGCTTGCTTTAACTCTTCCACTGGTGCCTCCTTCTTCTCCTCTTCTACTGATGCATCAAGGCTCTCTGTGACTTCTAAAGCGAATGTGTCAATGACCTCCATGGCAACATGAAGCTGCGGGGGTGACTTCGGTACTGGTTTGTCGCAGATGACAGCGACAGGGGTGTCAGTGATGACAATGTTATCAGTTATGATCTCTTCCTCTGTTCCTGCTGTTGCCTGGACTGGTGATGGGGTGGTGGCAGGCTTTTGGGGTTCAGGTGTGGTCTCTGAAACTTTATCCATGGCATCCTGAAGGATAGTCTGGGCAATTACCTGGCTCTGAGCCTCAATCTCACAGGCCTGCTGCACTTCATGGATTTCTTCTATCTTTTCTGTTGCCTGCTCACTGACAGCAGGACTCTCTGGCTCTAGGATCTCAACGGCAGTGGCCTCCACAGTCTCCACAACTGTGTCTTCCTCTTTTATGGTGATCCCCTCTGAGCTTGCCACCTGGTCAGACTCCAAACTGAGCGGGGCGATGCCAACCACTGTTTCTGTGATGACAGGGGCCTCCTCACATGATAGGACTACAGTCTCCTTTGTGATGGTGGTCATTGTAGTACAATACATGGTAGAAGATATCTCTTCATCCACAACCTGAATTACCTCTGTGATAGGGGCATTTTCTTCAGTGGCAACATCAAGTGGCTCCATGTCTATTTTCTCTCCCTTGGTCTCTACAGTTGGCTCAATGACTTCTACGCTCTGGGTGCAGATGGCTGTCTCAGATGTTGGGGTAATGGGGTTGACTATTTCAGCTTTTGGAGAGTTCTCGCTCACTGTGGTGGTCTGAAGGACCACAGACTCCTCCAGAAGAGTGGTGACGACTCCAATCTTCTCAATTTCAGGTTCTCTGCTCTCAGTGGCAGCTTGAATGTCTGTCACATCATCCAGTGAATTTTCAACAGCGGGCTCAAGGTCAGTGGTTTCCACTTGGTGAACTTGGGCTATGAACACTGTCTCTTCCGCAACTATGCCTTGCTCTGGACTTGCTGGTTTATCCTCCATCAACACCTCTGTGCCCAGAGCATCACGGACTACTGCCATGCACTCAACGAGGGGCGTTGCAGGCTTCTCAAGAGCTACTTTGGCAATCTCCTTGGTGCCCAGGCCAGTACAGATAGACATTGCCTCTTCAGGAGTATGTGGTTGCAGGATAGTATTGGACGTTACCTCTGCATTCCCAGTTGGTGGTTCATCCTCTGTGTTTTCAGAAGCTGCCTCTAATGGTACATCTACAACAGTCACAGATGTCTGGGATGGAATTTCACTGATTTGGGCCTCAATACCCGCCACAACCTCCTCAGCGTTTCCCGACGTGGGTCCCTGAGGAACAAGGGTGGCTTCTGCAGCTGGAGCCTGAGCGACGGGCTTCATTTCTGCTGTGGACAGCCTACGACCTAGACCTTTATTGGTCTGCATAGCCTGGTCCTCATCATCTGCAATATCAGTGTCAACAGACTTTGGCGTGGCAGCATTCTCTGCCTCCTCTGGGATGTCACTCAGCTGATCGTGGTTATTATCAGCATCTTCGACAGAGGCTGGAATCCATGAAGGGGATCTATCTTCGGTAGAAACTTTAATCTGGATTTCAGCTGGTACTTCCTGTTTAGCCTCAACTTGGTCATCATACTCTGAGAGAGGAACCACAGCTGGGGTGTCAGAGTCCTCCTCGCCAGCTTCAGTGGAGGCCTGCTTTTCAACCTTCTTCTTCTTGCGTCCAGGGAAGAACTTCCTCAAGGAGAAAGATGACTCTTCTTTTGGTGCTTCACTGTCTGACTGGACTTGGTTTGCACTCTCCTCTGGCTTTTCCTCAACTTTGGGCTTACTCTTTGACATAACCATGCGTTTCAGTGTGTCCCAGGTAGATTCTCTCTCAGGGGGGCTTAAAGGCTCAGGGGAGGAAACAACTTCTCCTTCTCCTTCACTCTCTGTGTTTTGTGAGGCCAAAGTGACAAGAGCAGCCTCGGGTTTGACCTCCTGTTCCTCTTCTGCAACTGATTCTACAGCTGCTGCTTCCTCTTCAATCTTGGTCTCCTCATCATCAGAATCAGAGGTCCTCCTTGTCCTCTTTTTGGTTCCACCCATACACATGAGGGCCTCCCAGGAGACAGAGGTGTCCATTTTCTTTTTGGGCTCTTCAGTGCTGCTGACAAGCTTCTCAGTGTTTTCAGTCCTTGGCTCTTCCTCAGTTGGCTTTTCCTCCGTGGCCTCCTCCTCAACACTCTTATCTGCTAATGGAGCGCTCTCAGAAGAGGACAGTGTGGCTGAATTTGCTGGTTTCTCCCCTGTGGCTTCATCATCACTCTCAGAAGACCTTTTCACAAGTTTCTTGGGAGTTACTAACCTCTTGAAGGAGGACCAAGCGATGATGCCCTCTTTTTTCTTCTCTCCATCAGAGGCAACTTCAACATCAGCCTCTTGGTTGGACTCATTCTGGGTCACCTCCACGGCAAGGACATGCTCCCCTGACTCCTCTGGAGATGAGGGCCCACTGTCAGCTTTAGGAGCCTCTGCTGATTCAGTGGAAGACTGAAGCTGCTCAGCCGCCTGCTCCCCAGACTCAGTCAATTTGCTCTCTGTATCTTTCTTGGTCTTTTGTTTCTTAGTTGACAGTTTCTTCAAGCCGGCACCAGTGAAGAGCTTTTTCAAGGGGCTTCCCTGGGGCTTTGCCTTCTCCTGTGATGATAGGAGTTCAACCTCAGACGTCACCTCTGCTGGAGCCTTCTCCTCCGCTGCTTTTTCCTCGTCTTGTTTAGTCTCATCAGAAGTAGCTACTGAGGAAGCAGGGGTTTCTTCAGAGGTTGGGGTTGCCTCTGATTTGACTGAGTCTGGAGTGACTGCTGCCTCCTCCTTTGGCTCAGATTTTTCTTCCCCTGGAGTTGCTGGTGCCTCCTGGTTTTCTTGCTCTGCATCCACCTTGTCTTCCTCTGCTGCAACAGTTTCCTCTGATTTAGCTGCTTCCTCTTCAACAACTGCCTCCTTGTCTTCGTCCTCTTTTGTCTTCTTGATGCTTGCCTTCTTTCGCAGGTTAGAAAAAATGCCTCCACCGAAGAGTTTTCTGAAGGGGGACAGGGTCAGGGTGGTCTCCTGGGAGAGTGGACTGGCCTCTCCTTCCTTGACTGATTCATCAGTATCTCCATTTGCAGCATCTTCAGCTGGGGCGCCAGTGGTTTCAGTTTTATCTTCAGTGAGTTCAGCCTCCACGGGAGTTGCCTCTGCCTCCTTCTCTTCAGCTGTGCTCTTCTCTTCAGCAGTAACAGCCTCCTCCTCCTTTGTAGGTTCATCGGTCCCACTGAGCTCTTCTCCGTCCTTATCTTTGACCGTCAGTAGCTTCACAGGTTCTTTCTCCTCACTCTTGTCCTTCTTCAGTGTGAACTTAAAGCCTACAAAGCGGAAGATCTTCTTGAAGCCCACTTCAGTGGCATCATCAGGCTTCTCTTCCCCTGCCTTCTCCTCAACAGCGGAGATGTCATTGGCATCAGGGGATTCTTTCTCCACTTTCTCACCATTCACTTGAGGAACTACTTCATCCTGGGAGGTGTTTACTGTCTCAGAGGTCTCCTCCTTTTGAGGTACTGACACAGCATCAGGCTGGCCAACTGAAACGACAGAAAAAGAAAGCATGTTCAGTGTGATACTCATCAGATTTCTCATTCAATATTTCCTCCTCAATTCATTTGTCATTGCTGCTGCCTTCATCTCTATCAGACATTTTATAAAATCTATAAGGTGTCTACGTTGTTTTCCCTGTTAATGTTTTTTTTTCTCTGTAGTTTTTCTTTACTCTTGTTCTGGATTAAGGACACAAGATGTTGCCCCTTGGTCCGCATATGAGACAAATTGTGATTTGTGAATATAATATTAAAAAACATTTGATTGATTGACTTCCTGCCTCTGCTACAGGAAGATCACTAACAATATTCCCATGATATTCATATAAGGAAGCTTTGACTGCAGCTATGGTTTTATAACAGTCAATTTAACAAATGTAGGTAATGTGAGGAAATCAAATTAGCCAAGAAATCTGTGTTTAATAAAATCTCTGTCATTACTCTGGGGGGAAACTACATTTCAAACAAATGGGATTTTTTTTTTTGGTATATCACTGATGATAGCCTCCTTGCCATCTGCAGACAATCAAAGATGTTGTACAGAAAGTATTTGCTGAGATTCCGACCCTCTGAGATGATTTTATCAAGCATATGACCACTTAATTGCAATCAGAGTTTTGGCATTGGCATAAACAGCACTCGTCCAAAGGGAGACTCACACAAAAATCTTGCACAATGACAGTAATGCTGTTATTCAAATAATTCAAATACACAATGTGTGCAGAACATTTCATAATGTTGAATCATGTGGCCCACATCTGGGTCCTTTTGATGGTCAAACTGAAACACTTATCTAACTCCACTACTGTGAGCAACGCCTTGGTTCGTCACACAAATAACACAAGAATTGTTCCATACAAATGGCATGTTAGCACACACACAACCCACACATTCACATACGATGCCACGTCTATCTGTGTTTTGACAGGAGGAGGCCTCAGGGGATGATGACCTGTCAGTGCCTGACACTTTTCTCCTTTCCTTTTTTTTACTCACTTCTCACTAGAAGTCTGGGAACCTCACATCTGAAACTCTCAAAACAAATTCCACAGGTCTTTAAATGACTAAATATCAGCTTACCTGATTACACACACGGGGGAACACAAAGATGCTCTCTTGAAAACCACCATGCACACTGTGGGAACTACCTCCTATTCTTGCCCTGGCAGATTCAACTTGTAAATAAAGACATGTTCTTGTCTCACACACAAAAATGCAAAACTGCGCCACAAGTGTCCACATCCTTTTCCCTAATTACAGACACAAAGCCTCAATCAGTTGCATGACATTCCCAGAATTTTTCAGGTTATGATAAAAAAACATTTTTTGTAAGTTCACTTGACCAATGGAACTAACATGTTGCCAAACACTGCAGCAGCATTCTGTGCTAAATGTGTGCAATAGATAAAGAAAAGTTCTTTCATATGTTAATGTCACTCACAAGGGCACGCCCATGTTTTGTATGTATATTTAGATTTAAGAAATGTGAGCTATGCCTCTCACTCCATGTTTAGGGGAAAACAATTTTAGGATTCTCCACACATGAAATTCCAGGGATTTAAAGAATGTTTATTTGTTTCTTTTGGGTTACGGTGTCTCGTCTGCGCCCATATAGGATTTAAGCCAAACAATACAGGCCCCTGCAACCCCTCCTTAAAATAAGTCCCAATCCCCTTGACCCAAATTCCACCACAGCAGGATGGATGTGGACCCACCCCCTTCCCAAGGCACACACTCATGCAAACACAATAGCCCTTCTAACCCACTCTGGCCTCCGACAATAAAAGAAAGGGGGGTGGTCGACTTTCCTATTATCAAGACACGCTGCAGTTTGGAGTTTGTCATTTTTTACCAAAAACTGGTGTAAACTTGGAAAAGCAGTCAACGCCAAAGTAACTTATATGATACATCAGTGTCACATGGGGTCCGTCTCACATGTGTTTTATTTAAAGGGCACTTGTCGAATCACACTGTTGAGTGAGCAGGTCAGGGCGAGAAAAAACACAAACATCCTGTAAACACAAGTCACAAAACAAACAGTTATCCAATAGGAAACCTTCTTTAAATTGGCCGACCAAAATTCAGTTGAACTATGTACATAATTACACATTTCTATGTAGTTCTGGTGCTTTAAAAAACTTTGTGTGTGAAGACGTCTGTGTGTGTGGGGGGGGGGTGGGGTTAGACTGTTGGTAAACCAGATGAGGCCATGTGTATCTACTTTGACAATAAAACAGGAATCATGTTGATTTAACACACTCCTGGAATCTCTCTCAGTCTTTTTGATCTTTGTTTTCCAGGTTTTTTTTTTTCTTTTAACACAACTGTTAACATTTGATTTTGGGGTGGAGGGGTGGGGGAGTAACTGTGAGGAGAGGAGTGAATGGGAGGGGGGGCTGTTTTGAATAACGACTGTAACAGAAAGAATGCGAGCGTTAGCGGTGAGGCTGCAGGGGGTGAGCAGGGGACAGTTAAGGAGACGGAGGGATATGGTGGGGGGGGGGGGGGGGTTTCTGCCCTGAGGCTGCAGCCCTCACTCACTTTAGAGGGTGTTACATATCTGAGACACACACATTCATAGCTGAGAAGCTTCTCTCTGTGGTGAAGACAGGCTTTGTTTACGGGTGTGAAAGGCATGTGGTAAGGTGATGCCCTCGCATTAAATATCAACACCGCAGCCAAAAACCCAAACAATTGTTGTAAATCTACTCCAGTGAGATCAGATTTCTGATGTGGCTCTCTCTCTGTGTGTGTGTGTGTGTGTGTTGAGTGCCAGCTATTCTTCCTGTTGTTTACACACTTTACCCAAATTAATGCAAATCCTTGTTATGATTATTGTCGTCTGGAGCAGAAGCCCTTGAAACAAAAGATGTGGGTTAAAAAAAAGAGGGCAAGGAGACACGACACCCCTCCTCCCCCAAAAGGACCCCTTCCACCACCCTCCCTCTCTTTGCATCGAAGGTGTGGTCAAAGTGTCTCCTTGGCTCCAGGGGGCTCCTCTGCACATTCAACAGGCACTAACACCCAAATACCTCTGTAATCTAACTCACACCGAGCGAGAGTCTGCTGTAACAGCGTGCTCACAGAAAACATGTTTGTTTATGTGTAAACAATAAAGCTTTGGAACCTGTGGTCGAGCAAGACACCCAAAACCCCAGCTCCATTTCAACCATCACTCCCAGTTATAAGGCCTGAAGAAGAATTGGTCTTGGCATGTAATTAATTCCATACGCCCCTCTCTCTACTCTCTCTCTCTCTCTCCTCCCTCCTTCTCTATCCCTCTGCGGCTAAACTGAATAACACCACTGGGAATTAGAATCCCACTCTAATCTAATGAAATACTTCACATGACGGGATGCATGGGAGCTGGCTCGGACAGGCAACCAGAGCTAAAAGCAGGCTTTGAAAAATTTTCCTGTGAATTGGTGGGTCATGTATATTTCTATCGTGGCAGCTGTCACCGTGTGAAATTCTTTTCCCACCAAAGGAAGCTGTGTGGGACGTAAACCCCCCCAAAAGTTCACTCCGAAGTTTGTCTAAGACAGAGACTGTGGTTACGAGACAGGAAAGTTAGTGCAGTGGATAAACATTTTTCTTTACTACAGGGCTACTGAAAATGGGATGATTTAGAGTTTAAACAAAACCACTGGTGATGGATGAAGAATAATGAATTAACACTTGATGATTGAAGCTCAGAAACAGAATTAAAAAACAGTTTAAACTTCATGAAATATAGAAAAAACTCGAATAAACCCACATGATTTGACACAATTGTTCACAATGAGGCTCTGGTGGTCAAAGCAAAAATATCATTAACTGAAATCTCTCTCTCGTGCCGGAACATCTACAAACCACAATGAGTAACCACACCCTCAGGACAACAATGCCTTCGGCTGCACTCCCTCATGTGAGCAGAAAAACAGTTGCTTTTGGTTTTCCTACATTTATCTGAAGAACAGATTAAAACCCACAGAAATGACGAGAAGACAAATTCTAAATTGAAATTTAGCACAAGCAGCCACAAAGTTTGCATTCATGCTGAATCACATCATGTTGAACAGATCACTGCAGGGGGGGAGTTTTAGATGAGTCCATATTTCTTACCTGTTAGAGTTATTGTTCCAAGCATTTGTAAAACGACCAAAAATCCTTTCTCCCCCCAAAAAATTTCAAAAATTAAAAAAGGTTGAAAAAATATAAACCTTTTCTTTTTTAAGTACTGTATTTACTGTCTGTGTTGTTTCCCTTCACTCGTCTGCACGCTCATTAAAATGTGAGATCTGCTCGGCTCCGTCTTAACTCCTGAGAATCTGAGGTGCAGAAGCTGCGTCTCTATCGTCCTCTCTGTTTGACTCCCTCTCTCTTCCAGTGCTTCACGATCAGTATGACCAGAGAGGAGGCTCCACACACATTTCAACAGACTGACACACATGTCATGTTGGGACCACCCCTGCCTCCCTCATGCCTCCCACCTCCCTCTCCATTCTTCAGCTGTTCTGAATGAGACCCCCCCCCCGCCTCACACACACACACACACACACCCTACCCCCATCCACCTCCTCCTTCCTTCTCCACTCGCTCTCCCTCAGACCTCCACCCAGGGATGACTGGAGCTTATCATGTGATCTTTCACTGGAGCAGTTATCTAACTATTGTACATGTTCAAACTCCATCACACATGCACATCGTTTCTTTTGGGCAGGGGGTCTCTACTGTCTCCCCCTCTCTGGCCTTAATGTCCAAATGTGTCCTCTTTTAAAAAGCTATTGGACACCAGTCTCCTGCACCAACACCACCTTGTCTCTTCCTTGACCAGGCTCTCCCCCATATTTCATGCAGCTAGTCATGTAGAGGAATGTTGAAACTGGCAAGCAAGAGGGAATTTCATTTGGACACAAAACTCTATTTGTTCTTAATTGGAAATGGGTGATTTTTCTCTTTAAAGTGACATTGATAAAATAGAAAAGCATCATCCAGAAACAGTTTGA